TTTTTATGGGGAAATAACATAATTTACAATAACTTTTGAACCGTAATTTTTACAGAGATGGGATTTTTACCATTTTGTTCAGAATATAAAGGACTATAACATACTAAATTTTTATCGAGATCGTTCAGGCCATTTTTGGGAAAATCTTTTTTTCTCCGTCATTTTATGGGGTTTTATGGGAAAATACCCATTAAAAATAAAAATTTCTAAGAAATGAGAAAAACTATCAAAATTGTAAGGATCATAACATACTATGTTAAATAAAAACGGATTTTTTTGTCTAAAATCCTATTTTTCGTTATTTTATGGGATTTTTATTGGAAGATAACATAATTTACCATAACTTTTGAACCGTAATTTTTACAGTAATGGGATTTGTACCAATTTGTTCATAATTTAAAGGGCTACAACATACTAAATTTTTATCAAAATCGTTCGGGCCATTTTTAAGAAAATCCGATTTTTCCGGTTTTTTATGGGTTTTTATGGGGAAATCCCCATTAAAAATCAAAACTTCAAAAAAATGAAAAAAACGCCTGGAGATACCATGGATTAGAACCTACATACCAAATTTCATCGAAATCGGACCACAGGTGTAGTCTCTAGCTCTGTACACATCCAGACACACAGACACACAGACACACAGACACACACACACACACACACACACAGACATCACTTCGAAAACCACTTTTTTGGGTCCAGGGGGACCCAAAACGAATATATCCACTCAAAACTCAAACTCGAAAATTTTGACGAAAACAATACTTTCTCCATATACTATTATATGGTATAGGGGGAGAAAGTAAAAAACATGTTATGAGACTATATATGTTTCTAAGGGCACTTCCCAGCCACTTCTAGGTAAACCTGCAATAACAAGTTTGCAGTTACTTGCTCGAATCAACGAAATACAGCCATCCAGTAATGACTGGTATGACAGACACCCCAAACTGTTTGAAGGCTTAGGTTCCATTGATGTCAAATACAAAGTAGAACTGAAAAATAACGCCAATCCATTTGCAATCAACACGCCTCGTCGGATTCCTCTTCCTCTTTGGGAATCTACTAAAGAAGAGCTTGAAAGAATGGTGTCAATGGGGGTGATCGCTGAGGTACACCATGCCACAGACTGGTGCTCTCCAATGGTTGTTGTGCCAAAGAAGGACTCTAACAAAGTTCGCATTTGTGTAGATCTTACTAAATTAAACAGATGCGTCAAACGAAGATACTATCCTATTCAACCCATCGACATAACACTTGCCCAAATCTCAGAAGCAAAATGCTATTCTAAATTGGATGCTAATAACGGATTCTGGCAGATCACATTGGACGAAGAATCCCAAGATTTGACAACGTTCCTGACACCGTTTGGACGTTTTAAATTTCTGAAACTACCCTTTGGAATAACATCTGCACCAGAAGTGTTCCAAGAATGCGTGAATCGAACCCTTAAAGGTCAAATGAATGCACTTGCGCATATGGACGACATAATTGTTTGGGGGAAAACTCAACAAGAACATGACTATTTCTTAGAAGAAGTACTTACCAAACTTGAAGGTGCTGGCTTCACCCTAAACAAAGACAAATGCTTGTTCTCTCAAACCTCGCTAACCTACTTAGGTCACCATTTATCTGAATCAGGAATCAAAGTCGATGAGACCAAAGTCGAAGCTATACGAAAAATGGCTCCTCCAACAGATATTTTAGGAGTTCAAAGGTTACTTGGTATGGTGAACTTCATTGGCAAATACATACCTAATAAAAGCCGGTTACTAAAACCCATTACCGACCTACTAAGTAGAAAAAACGAATGGTGTTGGGGTTTTGAACAACAAAAAGCATTCGATGAATTGAAAGAATTATTGGCTTCTCCACCTCAACTTGCATTCTATGATAAAAATAAACCGACTATGATTTCTGCTGACTCTTCTACACAAGGCCTGGGTGGAGTACTTTTACAACAACAATCAGATGGGAATTGGAAGCCTATTTCTTATATTTCACGCACTCTGAGCGAAACTGAACGAAACTACTCTAACATTGAACGAGAAGCTCTATCATTAACATGGAGCTGTGACAAGTTTAAAGACTACATTGTGGGCAAGCACATCACGCTAGAAACAGATCACAAACCTTTGGTAAGTATTTTGACTACTAAAGAGATCAATGATATGACTCCCCGTCTTCAAAGACTAAGACTTCGTCTGATGAGATATTCCTACAATGTGACATACACTCCTGGCAAACATTTAGCCACTGCTGATTGTCTCTCAAGAAGTCCTGTAGCAGCTAATGAGAGTTATGATTTAGATGAGGAAGTTGAACTGGCCATCCACACAGTAACAAGAAACATTGCCTATGTAACTGACATGGTTCTTGATAGAATTGCATCGGCACAGCGGGCTAGCTCAGAACTCAGGGTAATTAAATCTTACTGCTCAACTGAATGGCCTGATAAAACTAAGATTCCCGATAATCTTAAGCCATACTTCACAGTTCGGGATGAAATCTCTTTTTGTGACGGACTATTGCTTAGAGGAGAACGTCTCATAATCCCGACAACTCTTAGACAAGAAATGTTGACAAGAATACATACAGGCCACCTAGGCATAACGAAATGTCGACTTAGAGCCAACAATAGTATGTGGTGGCCAGGAATGTCACTTGACATTGAGAAATTTGTTAATGATTGTCCCAAATGTACTGAACATAGAACACAACATCATGAACCCCTTTTGCCCAGTGAGCTTCCATCTCGTCCTTGGGAAAAGGCAGCGATTGATCTCTTTAAACTTGAAGGAACATGGTTCGTAGTAATCACTGACTGTTTTTCACGTTATTTTGAAATAGCTACATTAAAGAACCTGTCAACTGCTGAAATAATCGAAAAATGCAAATCTGTATTCTGCCGTCACGGTATACCAATTGAGCTACGATCTGATTGTGGTACACAGTTTGCTACCAGATACACTGGTCTTGAAAACTCTGAATTCAAAAAGTTTGCTCAAAGCTATAACTTTAAACTTGTGACAAGCAGTCCAAGCTACCACCAAAGTAACGGTGCAGCTGAAGCTGCAGTCAAAATAGCGAAGAGTGTACTAAAGAAAAACAAAGACGACCCATATTTAGCCCTCCTAACCTACCGCAATACACCTCTATCCACAAGTGGATACAGTCCTGCTCAGCTAATATACAACAGACCACTGCGAGATAACCTGCCTGTTTTACCTAAAAAACTTGAAATCAAACCCGATCTCTCTCAACTAAAGGAAAAAGAAGATACTTACAAAGCATCTTACAAGAGAAACTACGATAGGCGCTACGCTACAAAAGAACTTCCATCGCTGCCTGTAGGTAAGAAAGTATGGATCCAAGACCTAAAAAGAGATGGTATTATTATCAGCTTAGGACAAGAGCCAAGGTCATACTGGGTTAAGACAGGAAACACTACGTTGAGAAGGAATCGACACCACCTTTTGCCTTACAAAGGTAATACAACCAAACCGAACAATCCTATTCCTTTATCCATCAAAGATACAACGTCAGATCCTCTGCCATTTACTACTGTTACTCAAAACAACTCTTCCCTATCAAATACTGCTGAAAGAACAACTACTACACCATCTAGAATAACTCAAGATAAAAGTAAACCTTTTTCACGATCAACTACTCCCAATCAAGAAGCTGCAATAAAACAATCATCAAGAGGCAGAATTATAAGACCTACGAAACGTTTTCCTGACTAAACTCTGAAAAGAAACTCACAGGGAAAGATGTTTAACCCTTATGCTTATTTAACTAATATTTAACCATATGATTTTATTTACTTTTCTATAATAATATTATTCTTGTATTAGTTAACCCTTATGCTTATTTAACTAATATTTAACCATATGATTTTATTTACTTTTCTATAATAATATTATTCTTGTATTAGTGTCTTGATTAAAACAGTTTAGTTTCTTTGATCTTTTAATTTCTTATTTAAATAAGAAATAGAACAAATTTAAACAACTTATTTTCAACCATATTGCACACAATCTCAGTGTTATGGATAACAAAAACACCACACTCGACACCTCCCTTCTGTTGTAGACACTTCGCTTCTATAACGTGACAATTGTCGAGCAGTTTGAGGCCCTGGGAAAGCTTGGAGGCGAGTTGGATAGCATGATTATGGTTGACACCAGTTACAGAATCATAGTGGTAAAAATTGGCTGTAGAACTGCAGTACACCAGAAGTGACCAGTGACTACCTCCACTGTGTTGTTTCCCATCATTGTTTACCACTGATATGATGTAGTCATAATTGTGTAGGTTAAGATTGCTGCAAACTTGGTGAATTGTAATTGAGTCATCCTCCACCTTCATAAGTTGACTAACAGACGGCGGTAGAAGAAAAACATTCCCTGGGTGAGGTTGACTGTCAAACCATGACTTTATCTCTTCATCTCCCAACATATACCACAAAGCTGTTATGTCGGTTCTGTCACCTGCATTTACTCTACTGTAGGTTCTGTTATAGTCTTCTATGGTCGATAAATAAATCTTACCTTGTCAAGTCGTACAACAATGGATACATTTGTACAACAGAAATAAGTCGTTTATCGGACCTCATCTTTAATAAATAATCACAGTAGGCCTACTACAAACATGTGTCAGACCACCCGAATACAGTTGCACAACACTGGCTAATGTACTCTGCACATGCACTGTGCTGGCAGGACCGTCTATTTTCATTTAAACAAGGTTTTTGTATTCTCCTAACATTTCTACAGGGGTGGGGACCAGCTAAAATAATATTGTATTGAGTACCTAATGAACACTAAACTGGTCTTTGAATCAAACTAGTTGGCTTGTCCGCTAAAGGGATGTAGTGGAGACCTAAATTTACTGACAACCCTAATGTTTTGACTTGTATGAAGCAGTTAATTTTCGTTACCTTGTTTTATATTTCCTTTAAGTAATTATTTATTAATAAATCTTACCTTACTCAGGTCCGTGTTGAGTATGCTGCGATCACTACACGAGCAGAACATTCACTCACAAGACGAAGCTAAGCAGTATTTGGGGAAAATATTTCGTATAAGGTTTATGGAGCTTCCAACATGGTCTACAGATGAAGAGATATGTGACTTTATATTGTTGTAAGTACAATTTAAAAAGTTTTCATTAAATAAGTAGGTAACAAAAGATTGTATGCGCTTGGTGTGCCTTTAGTAGTTCTTCCGTGGTTGTGTTTTGCTCCCTCCTTGGCTGAATAGGTCATGAAACTAGTGACGCTCTTAAAATCAAAAATAAATTCCCAAAACTACTAGGTAGGCCTATTAGGAAAAGTTTCAGTTTTGAGATTTGATTTGATTGGTGAGTTTCAAATCAAGAACAGAAAAGAGCCAACTAATTATTTCAGTCAGGGCAGTCAGGGGTTTCTGAGGCAATATTTTCATAGGGATGGACAAGATTGGATTTTTAGCTCGAGACAAGATAAGACAGGATTTTTTACTTCTCATAAAATTTCAAGACGAGATCAAGACGGGATTTCCCTTCTCATACATAACAGGAAATGCACGTGATTCGACATTTTAACCTGATTTTGTAACATTTTTAAATACCTACTGATTTATGACAGACTGGTTGGATACAAAAATAATAATAAACAAGAATATTTTAAATCTTTGATTAAAAAACATTACCGGGTAATAAAAAACATCATTATAAAAAAACAAATATTAATTAGGCCTATCTTATTAAAAAAAAGAAAAAAAAACTCTTAGGCATAGGAAACATGGAGATATTAGTTATGGTTAGGATAAGGTTCAACTTTGAAAAATACCAAATTAATCATTCTAAAACACCAGTCTTTACTAGTTGAGTATCAAGTAATAATTTTTCAGTCTTGTGTTATTTTTAGAATGATTTTTGAGTGACTTATTTTGGCTATTTTTACAATAGTAAAACACGTCTCACACTGCTAACACTAACAAAACTTATCATCATTTGCTATGCCAAAACAAACAATTATAGAACAATTAACACAATATTAATTTACATGTAAAGAATTAACAATTTTAAAAAACGCCTTTGCAAAGGAAACGCAACATCAGTGCGTTCCTGTATTGCACATTGCATTTACTTTATGCAAGTGTATTTGACGTATTTTATCTCGTCTCGAAAAAATCTCGACCAAAATATAATCTTGTCTCGTAGAACGAGATTTAAATTCCTGAAAATTTTTAGACCTGTCCATCCCTACTCTTTTATGCCTTTTTTAGTATCTACCTCAATGGCATTTTGTACAACGGGAACGTAAATGCCTTTAAGGGGAAGTGGTCCAAACTCCCAAAATATGTTATATGCCATGAATCAAAACTATGGTCCTCACACTTCTTGGCCCAAAAGGTTAATTTTTACCTTTTTACCACAAGGATGCGTACATTGCTTCACTGTTGTTTACAGGCATTGTGTGTGCATTCACGTAGACGATTACAAAGACAAGTTCCACTGTTTAGTGCTGATGCTACAGAAGCTATTTTCTGTAGTACAAGACAAAAGCTGCATAGAGGGTGCTGACGCTGTCATGATGCAGGAGTTGTTGTTAGGCGGCCATCTGTACCTACAGGTGAGATTCTTTTTTTTTGTCAATGAAGAAATCACTATACTTAAGGGAAAGCAGTCTAAATTGATAAAATGTTTTTCAGTATGCTGGGTATTGAGCCTGTCGCTCTCGCACCAAAGTGTAATACTAACTAATAAGCTGACAATGCAGTTTTAGCCCTTTAAGGCGGTTTCACAAACATTCCTTGTCTCACTAAATAAGACACCGCTAAGGTTTACAAAACGTTCTTGTCAGGTAGGTTGTTGGTTCTACCTTCTACGGAAGGTTATGAGAACACTTATGCCAAAATGACGGATGGTTTAATATGATTTAAAAAACTACCATTATCAGTGTTAAAGATGTAAATGCTTTATACATCTGTTATCGTTGTAAAAATACACAGGTGAAACCAATATATCAAATTCTAAATTTAACTTTAAGATCCTATTATTTTTTTATACAGGTCCTAAAAGATCGACTACAAGGTTGGCTTTTTACCATAAGGAGTATGATCTTGAAGAGGATGAATGCTTCGTTTGAGCTTACAAAAGGTCAGTGAAACGGTTATAAAAAACTTTTCTACATAAAATCCTTTTATTAACTGTGCTGGTAAACATTTGATGCACTCAAAACAAGAATTTTAAATTTATAATTTTAAAGATGTGATGACTTTTGAAAAATCCTTGCCGTATAATCCTAAATAGGCTATTATTAACCCTTCCATGTAAATATTCTGTGTAAATTTATAGTTGTATTCATGGATCACTATCTAATAATTTAACTGGTAAAACAACTAAAGTAACAGTATTTTAGGCAATATTGTAGGCTACATAAAAAATTTTAATAATTTGGGGAGGCCAAATGCTGAGGCATGGTCTGTACTTTAAGTTATTGTCTTATATTCAATTAAATTTACTGGTAGATCAAATACTAAACTTTATTTCCTTTTAGTTATTTGTATCAAGGATTTTTATGACCACCAACACAGCTACTTTTGTGTACTTGTCATAATAACATTTTTGTTTTGAGTTTATATAAAGCTTTTTATTGATTAGCCTTCAGATTAAATTACTAGATTCTCATGAATTTTAAAATAAAACATCTTCACAGACGAATTAAACCTTGCGGTCAAGAAATCCGGTCTGGTTGACCACAGTTTGAGCAACTTCCTGGCGACTGGGAATGTGAAGAGCAGCTCGGGACTTGGTCTGATGCAAGACAAAGGTCTGACGATTGTAGCGGAGAACATCAATAGAATGAGGTACATGTCACACTTCCGAGCCGTCCACCGAGGGTCGTTTTTCCAGGAGATGCGGACGACGGAAGCAAGACAGCTGTTGCCGGACGCTTGGGGCTTCATTTGTCCTGTGCACACCCCTGATGGCGCTCCGTGTGGCTTGCTCAACCATCTCACCAAGCACTGCCAGGTGGAAACATTAGATTAGATTATAATTTATAACCTGAAAAAATACACCAGGATGTGTTATTTAAGGGGAAAACAAAATAAACAAGTGTTCGACAAATGAGATGACAGGTGAATACACTCTGTGGCAACGTACATGGTGTGTGAGGTAAAAGATTTGAGTTCACTGGTAAAAGGTATGGAATCTATAATCTGAAAATTGTGACTTTATCATCCCTCTATTTTGTCAGGCTCTTATTTTCTTAAGTAAGATAGCTGAACAACAAAATTTTTAATCAGCCACTTGGTTTTCATTCAAATTATTCTCCTTAAACTAATAATTATCCATGGTTTGAACAGTTTTACTTTTGAGTATATAACAAAAACAGTCTTATCTGAATGGAAAAGAGCCCATCTGACAATCTGACAACACGCAACTTTACACCATACACAAAAAGGGGAGTGAGCTGGTGTAGTGGCTAGAGCGCGGGACTTCGGTCCGTGAGGTCCCGGGTTCGATCCCCGCCAAGTCACCAATGGATATTATCTAAGTGATAATGCCGCAACCCCTAGGTCTAGCCTGAAGTAATGTGAAAAACAATCCCAGGCTCGTGCCTAGCGTCCTAGGAAAAAAAAAAAAAAAAAAAACCATACACAAAACATTACGATATATTACTGTCACTGGCAGCATTTTTAACTAAGTTAGGTACCTTAGTTGGTATGTACTAGTGTACCTGTTGCTCTAATTCAAGCAATTGCGAAGTATTACAGGCGTTATTAAAAAAAAAATCATAAATTCCGATTATTTAAAAAGAGTTGACTCAAAGATTATGGAAATACTCATGATGTACATAACAGTTTGATATAATCAAGATTTCTTGTAAATATCTTATCATTTTTCAAAAGCTGGTCTTATTTTTTAATGTTTTCTACAAATGTTTCCTACTCATAGCCGCATTAGGTTGTCCATAATAACGATTCTAAATTCTAAAAAAAATTTCTATTTCTTTTACTTGGTGGTGTTCTATGACTTTCCCATGTTTCTATAGTTTGCAATTTGGCTCTTTCAATGATTGCTGAAGAAACGCAGCACAATGTTAATGTTATTTTTTTTTTGTTTTTTTTAGTATATCAAAATGTTCAGGCTTTCTCGCTTTTTTCCATTGTAATATTTACACCAACCCTAATTCAAATAAGTTAGTAAATATTTCATTTAACCAAGTCATCAAATGTTTGTAACACACGTTTTTTAAAATTGCAACTAAAATATTAACAGCAATTAAATTATCCAGCCGATCATAATGTAAACAAATATGTTCTTCAAAAGGATAAAATAGGAACTTTAAAAGCCACTGGGACAGGGCACAAGAGACTTTTACAAAAAATGAAAGGTCAGTTTGAAAATTTACACACCTAGAGGAACATTTTGGTTGTAGCCTCAGTTTAAGCATTCTTAATTCTTAACTTAGGCCTACTTTAAATTTTACATTATACCTTTTAGCGAATTTCCCTATAGGGAAGTAGCTATTACCGTAGGTCTCATGGTAAGACTTAGGCCCGGGACCGATTTACTTTTTCATTTTGATGTCCCCAGAGGCCAAAAACACCATTCGTTCAAATTTTTATATATGTATATATATATATATATATATAGATTTATATATATATATGTGTCCGTGAACACGATAACTTGAGTAATTTTTATCCGATTTTGATGAAATTTGGTTTGAAGGTGTAAGGCGGGATAAACTTGAATGAGTTCGCGATCCAGCATGATCGGACCATGGGAACAGGGTTTTATGGGGGGTTTTATGGGGTAAAAATTGGGTTTTCTCACTTTTGACCCTGAAAACACAAAATTTCCCAATTTTTCTCTAAACCTTCTTAAAGAGCTTAAAAAAACAAACAATTCAGTATATCAAAGTGTTTTTGTACAGTTATTGGTTACGGAGAAAACTAAAAAAATTTTAAATTTAAAATTCCCATGTTATTCTTATGGAGAATATTGTAAAATGTTGTAGTTTGCTTGTTTATGGATATCTTTTGTTCAAACTTGGCAAATATATTCATTTTCTACTAAGCAATAATTATTTTACTTAAAACACACACTTTATTGGTTTCCTTGTTGCAGCAAACCTAGGTACCCACTCGTTAAACCTAATGTTTTTTTAATAGATCGATTGAGAATCAATTCAGCCAAATGGAAATTCGCTTAGACAGCAGGTTTGCTGCGGCGGGGGTATTTTAAATTGTCTTAAATAATAGAGCTAGGGTAGTTGCATGAGTTTCTTTTTATCAGGGAAGTCCCATTTTTAATTTCAAAGATGTAAAGACTTGGATTCGTGTGAAGCTAGTGAACCTAGACAGAGTCAATGAAAACACTTGTTTACAAAAATTATTTTATTTTATATGAATACTACTTAATCTATATACACACATGAAAAATAATGTCCACTATAAAATACCCTTAGGCCTACACCCTAGCATCATCAAGATAGTTATTTTACTTAATTTGTCCTTGGCCTAGACTAGTAAGTTACTGTTTTAAATGATTGATTTTCAGTACCATGTAACTTATGACTGAACTGAGCCTTTTGTAAAAGTATTTAATAATAGAAAATGTTTATATATGATCACTCTAGAATTCGTTATATTGAAGATGTTTAATCACTAGGTTTGGCTACTTATCCGTTTTTGTGGTGTTGAAGATCCACGGTGTCTTTATGGCATGAGTCTAAGTTACAATTAAGCCTAATAGGCTACAATATCAACTCCCTTTTTCACTATCACATTCCTTGGAACCCAGTCGCTTAATGCTCATTATAGTTTCTTGACTTTCTTTCATCTTAGAGCCTACATTACATGATGCTAGAGATTCACTTTTAGAGACCAACTCAGGTCTTCACTCACGCACAGTTTCTCCATAAGTGTTCGACTGTACTGTTACAACTCACTACTTGCCATCCAAAATTTAATTCTTTAAGTTGTTGTTACAAATTTTGCAACATAGGCCTAGCTAGAGAAAATTCTAAAAGTCATTCTATTTTAATTTGGCTTTTTTGGGCCTTTAATTTTCGAGATATTTGCTTTAATAACTTCAACTATTTCCCCCTTCTTCCATCTTTTTCGCGCCATAACCGCCAAATTAAAAACCATTCCTACACTTTTTTATAGTTTTTTATTTATTCTTTATGAAATCCATACAATTGTCTTCAGAAACATATTTAATCACTTTCATCTGAAGTTTTTTGATTAGACTTTCAATTTTCGAGTTAATTGCATTTTAGTCTCGGACTATTTTCTTGGTCACTTTTGCTCCCCGCAACGTCATGGCGGTTGGCTCAGACATTGTAAATTAATATTTTAAATTTAAATTTTTACATAATTTCTCTAATTTGTCCGATCATTTTGATTTTTTAACACAAGTTAGGGAATTTCATATGATTTTATTTGGTAACACTTTGAGCTCGATAGGACAAGTAGTTTTTTTAGATATTTAAGTTATTCGATACGTAATTTTTCTACAATAGGCCTATTTTAATTTAGTCTAACATATGATTTAAACAGATTTTGACCTCCCCGACAATTCATTACGAAGGCTATGTTCAATATCAATCTTTAGATGCAATGTTTTGACAGCTGAAAGCTTGTATCGTTTTTACTAAATTTTATTTTAGTCTCAACTTGGAATACCCGTTACATGGTATATAATATGTGGGGTTGAATCTTAAAACAAAAAAAGCCTTACAAAATTCCATGTAGCGTAGGCCTACCTATTAATAATATAGATTGGTAGGAGGTATTTTCAAATATCTCCCCTTAGGATGAACGGGATTGTAGTTTTAGTTTGGGATGGGAATATTATTTCCTTCCTGATTTTTGGGACAGCATTTTTCTCCCCGGGGAAAAGAGGCTGTTTAAAAATCTGAAGTAAAAATTCTTGTAGAATAATGACAAACAAAATCAATTTGCAGTCTCGCGATCATGGATCTCACGGTCATGGAGTGGAGAGCGTCATCACCGTTTGTCGCAGTAGTGGGAAATAGTTAACACTATCCTGCAGTTACAGTATCATCCTGTTCATCATTTGCGATCACAGCAGCATCTTTAACATCTCCCATGATCACGGCGCCATCTTTAATATTTCCCATGGTCATCATCCTCCTGGATTCTCAGAACCATTGTGAACATCTCCCATGATCACGGCGCCATCTTTAATATTTCCCATGGTCATCATCCTCCTGGATTCTCAGAACCATTGTGAACATCTCCCATGATCACGGCGCCATCTTTAATATTTCCCATGGTCATCATCCTCCTGGATTCTCAGAACCATTGTGAACATCTCCCATGATCACGGCGCCATCTTTAATATTTCCCATGGTCATCATCCTCCTGGATTCTCAGAACCATTGTGAACATCTCCCATGATCACGGCGCCATCTTTAATATTTCCCATGGTCATCATCCTCCTGGATTCTCAGAACCATTGTGAACATCTCCCATGATCACGGCGCCATCTTTAATATTTCCCATGGTCATCATCCTCCTGGATTCTCAGAACCATTGTGAACATCTCCCATGATCACGGCGCCATCTTTAATATTTCCCATGGTCATCATCCTCCTGGATTCTCAGAACCATTGTGAACATCTCCCAAGATCGCAGAGATATTATCATCTTCACTTACCATACTGACGACATCTCTTGCCTTCACAGGAATGTCATCGTCACTCACGAGTCACGATGCCAAAAAAACTGTTGACGGTTTTAAATTCCATCCTATGAAAATCGGGAATTAATTACAGTCCAATCCTGGAAATTGGAAGCATATTTTTCCTAAGTTTCAGTGCCCGTCCATCCCTACCTTCCCAAGTATGACCAATGTATGGTTAATGTAGTTTTTGACAGTGATAAATCTTGATGTTTTGTTTATAGAGTAAAGTTTTTGTATTATGTGCCCGATTTTACTCTTTATCGTTCAGGTAAAAAAAACTGCTATCTTCAAAATAACTTTTACTAAGGCCTTAATATTTATGAAATGTGGAATTTTGACTAGCACTTAATCAATACTGCTGTAGGTGACCAAACCTGTAGACCCAGATATGTACCAGAGACTACCTGAGGTGTTGGCCTCTCTAGGTCTCCAACCTCTAGACCATGACCTGGGAGTGACTCCCTCAGCATGCTATGTTACAAGTCTGGACGGGCGAGTGGTGGGGAGGGTGCCCCAAGCTTCTACAGCGAGGTTCGTCGAAAAACTGCGCACTCTTAAAATTCAGGGAGAGAAGGTAAGCTGATAGATATTTTTACCAATTTCATTTGTACCCTATGCATGTTTATCATTGCTTTCCTATCTATGAACTGGGTATCAAACAAGTTTTACACTTATACAACTTAAGTGACAACGTCAAAATTAAATTTCAAGAAGACATTTAAAATTTATTTGTAGTATGTTATTATTGTTTTTTGATCTTAGATGTATGTGACCCCAGGTACCAGACACCATGGAGATAGTGTTTGTGAAGCAGGGAGGTAGCCAGTTCCCAGGTATCTTCCTGTTCACAGGCCCAGCGAGGATGGTACGACCCGTCTACAATCTGGCTGCTAGACAGGTGGAACTGGTCGGCACTTTTGAACAGGTCTACCTGGACATCTGCATATCACAGAAGGAGGCTTATCCTGGGGTGTGTATATTTTTTTCTTTAATGTACTTGTAGACTGTTTGGCCGTTTTAAAGCTTGATTGTTAATGTGTATCACCTGACATGTCATAAAATGATAATAATTTTGGTTATGTTTTTAAGAGTTTTATAAATTTTAATAATTATTGTTTTGTTTTCTGAGGAAATACGTTTGTTCACTAAAAGCTAACCCCAGAAGTGAAAAACACAAAGAGTTTGTCAATGTCCTTATTTGACAAGTTGTTGACTGTCCATTTATTTTTTACATTCTCCCCCTATACCACAGTACTGTATAAGGAGAAAGTATTGTTTTTGTCAACATTTTTGAGTTTGAGTTTTAAGTAGTTATATCCGTTCTGGATCCCCCTGAACCCAAAAAAGTGGTTTTCGAAGTTATGTCTGTCTATGTGTGTATCTGTCTGTCTGTATGTGCAGATGTGTACATACCACACTTGTACTCCGAATTTGATGAAATTTGGTATGTAGACACTAATCCATGGTATCTGCAAGCATTTTCACTTTTCTTTAAATTTTTTTTTTAATTTGTATTTTTAATGGTGATTTTCTATAAAATAACGGAAAAGTTGAATTTTCTCAAAAATGGCCCAAACACATTAAAAAACACATTAAATAACAACAAATCAGATTTAAAAAAACGGTTTTGATTAAAATTAGTATATTATGGTCCTTATAATTCTAAACAAAATAGTGCCACCCTCAGTGCTGTAAAAATTTTGGTTCAAAAGTTATTGCAACTTATATAATTTTTTACTATAAAATATCAGAGCTACTCCACTTACCGATGAAAAAGGTTGTTCACAAGCTAATGGGAGAAAGTATGTGTCAGATTGCTGATACAGTGTATCTTCAGTTGTGTTCAAAGGGGGAGCGAGCTGGTGTAGTGGTTAAGAGTGCGGGACTTCAGCAGTCCCTGGTTCAAATCCCGCCTAGTCACCAATGGATTTTATCCAAGTGATAATGCCGCAACCTCTGGGTCTAGCCATTATTTTACCATGTACAATTTGGAACTAGCAATATCTACAAATCGGGTTTAGTGAATTTGTAGTTTTAAAGAATGTTCAGATGGGCTATTTTTTGCAGGAGACAGGACAGGCGTGAGGGTTTAGATGGTGGGGGGAGTTGGCGGGCGTTGGCGATGTTTTGACCCTGTATATTCGGCAGGGCGGCAGCTGGAGATGTGTGTTTTGTAGTTGTGGGTGTGTGGGCTGCGTCGGCTTCTGGTGGGGGAAGCTAGACCGCGCGGCAACACTGAGCCAGCGATCCATGGGTTGTTTATAATCGTTGATTGGGAAGTACAGTAGCAGGTTATCTTTTGGGGGTAGGGTGGGGGGGGAGGTGGGGGCACCATTCGCTCAGTCTTCCAGCGCAACTTTCAACTTTTAACTCGTTCAAAATTCCTTTTTTTCATAATTTCAAAAATCTCTAAAAATATAACGACTCTCTCCCACTCACAGGATAAAATTATCCTTTGTGGGGGATAATTTTGCTTACTTTAAAAAGCTTTTATAGGAAATTGTATATAATTTTTAAAAATAAATAATGTAAATATGTTTGTACAGGGGTCATAACATGGAATGTATGTTTTTTGCTAAATAAATGGTATTTTGATTTGAGCCTGAAGCAATGTGAAAAACAATCCCGGGCTCGTGCCTAGCGTCCTAGGACAATTCAATTCAAATATCCTTATTCGTTTTTATGTACATTGTACAATAAATAGTGTCAAAATAATTACAATAAAAATAGTGTCCAAATAGTTCAACAGGATAAAAAACAGCAAAACATGAGGAATGGTTATAAAAACAACAAATACATTTTACAAATCTAGTAAGATAATTTCAACTATCATAGCGACTGAGGGAGGTGAAAAAATTGTCAAAAGAATAAATTGCTAAATTTATTAAAAACTCTTTTCAATATTTTTTTTAAATTTGTTTGGTTCTGTTCCTTTTTAATATTTTTTGGAATAAATTTAAAAAATCTATTACCTGCATAGGATGGTTTCTTTTCAAAAAATGTAGTCCTGTGTGGTTGTACATTTTCGTTCTTATTTCTTAAATTATAAGATTGGGATTTTTCTTTTGGTTCCGAATATACTTCTTGTTTTTTTGCAATTATTATTGATTCATATATATACTGCCCATAAACAGTAAAGATTTTTAGGTCCTTCAAATGCTCTTTAGCTGACTCATCACGCTGCAGCTTAAGCATGATTCTAACCGCTCTCTTTTGCTCCTTTGAAATGCTATCTAGATTACATATTTTTGTTGAGCCGTAGAGTGCTATGCCAAACGTGATATGTTAATGCACATGTGCAAAATATATATTTTTTAAAGTTTTTAAATCACAGTAAAAAGACATACTTGATGAAGCATGAATTCCGGAATTAATTTTACTTAAAATTTTGTGGGCATGTTTATCCCAATTCAAGTGCTGATCTAGTGTTAAACCCAAAAAAATTGTACTAATTTCTTCATCAATATTTTGTAAGTTATAGCGTATTGTTGTTGGCTCCTTCTGTCTATTTTGTTTTGACTTAAAATTTATAAATTTAGTTTTTTGTAAATTCATTATCAAGTTGTGGTTATTAAGAAAATTTCCAATACTTTCCAATTCTACATAAGCGAACATTTCTGTTTGCTCTATTGAGTTGAATGATATTACCAAATTCAAATCATCAGCATACAGACATAGTGTTGAATTTTTATTATATATTAAAGAATCTTTCATTCAACATAGATAGCACAAAAAAAGCAGGGGCCCTAATATTGAGCCTTGTGGCACCCCAAAAACTATTGGCTTATACGTTGAGCATGATTTAATAATTCTATTGTAATTTGTCAAGTGAGTGATTTCTACGTATTGAGATCTTTCAGTGAGATATGACGTAAACCAATAAAGAGTTTGTTTTGCTACTCCTAGTCTTTGAAGTTTTTCAAGTAGAGTAGAATGCCTAACACTGTCGAATGCCATAGATAGGTCCATAAAAATACCAGTTGTACATTTTCTCTTGTCAACCAACTCAATTACAGTTTCAATAAAAGATAAAAAAAAGTTGTGTTCAAAAGATTTAGGTACTAGGACTATCTCAGGTTTATAATAGCTCCATAAATTTATATTTAATGTTCTATTTAAAAAAATTCCAACCAATGAATGATTGTTGTTTTCTTCCTTTTTACTGTTTAGGTTCTGCTCTAAATATGGTTATTGTTGTCATCCCTCTTTCCACCACAAAACCCGCTTTGTGTTTCTTTTGGGGAAATTCTATATACACTTTTGTGGATTTATTAGAAAAAGTTAAATGTTAACAAATATATTTCTCCTGGTTGGAATCATATGTTGGTTCATGTTTCAGATCACCACTCACCAAGAGTTGTCCAAAGACAGTTTCTTGAGCAACTTGGCTTGTTTGATTCCAATGCCTGATTGTAACCAGAGTCCTCGCAACATGTACCAGTGTCAGGTAAACACACAGTTATTTCCATTTCAAAAATAACTTGTTCGGAAATTTAAAACACAGATGTGTTGTAGTTGTAATATTGAATTGTAGTGTCAAAATCAGTGTTAATAGTTTTGTAAATATTTAGCTTTTTCTCAATTTTAAAATATGATTCCTGTCCTATCCTGTCTCAGTTAATCAAACACATAGCCTAGCAATTTTTATGTAGATTTGTGATTTCACTATGTCAAATGCTAAAAAAAAACCTACCCCCATAAGACCCGAACTTTTTCACTATAGGAATATGAAATTTCAGTTGTTAAATATTTTCATATGTTTCCCTTGATAAACAGAAGTAAAAAGTGATGACAAAATTGTGATTTGATACTTTGCTCTCGGTTGACTAGTCATCAAAGGTTGATGTAAACAACACAAAATAGTTTCAACTCAGCATAATCTGTCTCTAGCTTGTGAGACCAGTGTCACTCAGACCAATCACCTCCAGCAAAGATATCATCATCGTCTCCCACAATCATGAGAAAATCTTATGTTCGTTTAGATTGTGAAGAAATCGTTATCATCTCCTGCAATCGCAGAAAAATAATTGCATAGCAAAACGATAAACCGAAACCATAATGTTCCATTAGTACTTGATTTTATTAATTGCTTAAAGGCAACAAAAACTTAACTCTGGCCACTGTAGTTCATTAGTATGTTTCCTACTTGTTGACAGATGGGCAAGCAGACGATGGGCACTGCTTGTCACACGTGGGGTGTACAGAGTGAGACCAAGCTGTACAGACTACAGACTCCTGCGACCCCACTATTCAGACCTGTACACTACGATGTGGCAGGGCTGGACGACTTTGCAATGGGAACCAACGCAATAGTGGCCGTCATATCATACACAGGCTACGACATGGAAGATGCGATGATCATCAACAAAGCGTCTCTTGAAAGAGGGTTTGCTCACGGATCGATTCTTAAATCTGAATTTGTTGACCTTGAATCAGCAACGTCATACTTTGGCCTGGATCCAGGCAAACCGGAACTGGCCAAACACTTAAACAACGATGGTTTACCTGCTCCTGGTACAATTGTGAACAACAGGGAACCGTACTACTGCTACTTCAATTCGCTGGATGCCTCGTACAAGGTCGGCACTTACTCGGGCAAGGATCCTATAGTGGTGGACAACGTGAGACTGTGCAGCTCTCTACCGGGCTCTAGCGATCCTCCTATTAGGGCCTGCATCACGTTCAGAGTCCCAGTAAGTTATCTATAGAACAGTAGAGGTTGTAATTATCCACTACCATTAACTATACACAGAGTAGACTTCCCATCCAATGTGAAAATTTAAAGCCAAAAAACGTGGTGCAATGTGTTAGGATTATCTACCAACTAATGACAATATTCTGTGTCAAGTGATGAATCAATCAGCTGTTATCATGGATTTTAATTAATATTTAACCCAATACACTAGTACCATCTGTTGAGATGGTCCTTAACTTCATCTATTTTCTTGGCTTCAATTTTTTACATTGGATGGGAAGTCTATTCTTTATAGCCAATGCTTGCACTGTGTGTGTATCCTTTGACTTTGGGTAGAACTAGAAATTCCATTCACTTAACGTTGAACCTGAAAAATTAACATAGCTAAATTGATCTACTTTCGTTTGCTGATGTCAGTTAGGTTAGGCACTCATTTTGTTGAACACGCAAACTTTTTAACGACATTAAACACATTAACTACTATCATAGTAACAAAATAAAAATAGTATTTTGTTAGCAGCACACTTTGTTGGTACATTCTCCAACTATATTGTCTTTGAATTCAAAGTTAGCAACAGCTGGGCTAAATAGATTGGATGACTACTTCATTTTCAAAACAAAACTTCAGTAGTGTTAATTTAGCTGGGGAGCGAGCTGGTCTAGTGATTAGAGCGCGGGACTTCGGTCCAAGAGGTCCCGGTTTCAAATCCCGCCAAATCACCAATGGATTTTATCTAAGTGATAATGCCGCAACCCCTAGGTCTAGCCTGAAGTGATGTGCAAAACAATCCCGGGCTCAAGCCTAGCGTCCTAGGACCAAAAAAGTGTGAATTTAGCAGTGTCTTTTTGCCTATTGAGTATTGATCAAAACAATCTTAAGCCTAATCATATTTTTGTTTTTGATTATTGGTAAAAATCGGTAATTTTAGAAAAGATATACCGTTAATCCAATCTCTAATTCATTATTATACCTCTATGGCCTAAACCAGTTTATTGGTAACGCGGTAACACAAACATCACATGGAAAAATATCTACAACAAATATATACCACTAAATGGAAATGAAACTGAAATCCATCTAACTTTGACCGAAAGTGTTAATGTTCTTTCGTGGAATAAAATGTGAGAGAAAAAACTTTGCGATAACAAATAAGAATATCATTAAAAATGTATCTAAAAGCAATAAAGTAGTATATTTTTATGTAAACAAACAATCTATATAACAACACTGTTGCACATGAATAATCTGACCTAACTGTAGATAACAGATTCACCCTGTGTGGTATGTTTGTAGAGGAACCCGTCAGTGGGTGACAAGTTTGCCAGTAGAGCAGGACAGAAGGGAATCTGCAGTCACAAGTGGCCTGCTGAAGACCTTCCCTTTACAGAGAGTGGTTTGGTGCCAGACATCGTCTTCAACCCCCACGGCTTCCCTTCCCGGATGACAATAGGTAGAGTTTATCTTATTGTTTGGAAAAAAAGCAAGAGGATGTTTTTCTAAATGTTTTTGGTCCTTTAAATTGTCATGTTCAACAAGTCCTGGTAGAAAAGTGTATGATGTTCCATAGTATATCTACGATTCATAGATTCCATTATTGGAATGTTTTTATTTCTGTAACACGAAACATTTTTACTAGTTTATATAGTAAGTAAAAATAAACATTTATCAAGAAAAATATTTTCTGTATCATTATTTATTATAAAATTTTGTGATTTTGTGATTATTATGAAGCGTGAAAATAGTTAGAGATTTAGGAGAGTTAATCCAAATATTCGTAACATTTGTAAAATATAGTGGTGTGTTGAATCTAATATCGAAGGCTTCCACACCTTTATCCAAAAATGATTTTTTAAGAACATTTTTTTAAGTTAATGTCTATGATTTTTTGTTGAATTTACTTTATAAAAGTATGATTCTTAACTATAACAAGAAATAATCAATTTAGTCTTAAACCAGATACAGTGTGTAAATTAAGTATGGAAACAAATCTGTATTTTTAAAACCGAAATAGATAGAAATATTCTATTTGTGGCAATAATAGTTAACAAAGATTCCGCAATTTTTCACATGAAAAATATTTTTTTACCCCCCTAACAGGGTAGGTGGTAGGGGGTGACTTATTTTTTTCAAATAGCAACCCCTATTGAGTGACCTCTCATTTTGAAGAGTTTGTCAAAAGAAACACAATGACGCAAATCCGAGGTGAATATCTCACTCCTAGCCCAAATGGCGGATATTCCAAAATTTGATTTATTGTACGTGAAAAGCACCAATTTCACAAATAATGGAAAGAAATCTGTATTTTTAAAACCGAAATAGATAGAAATATTCTGTTTGTGGAATTGATTGTTGACATAGGTTCCGCAATTTTTTTAATCAACAATATTTTTTCAACCCCTTTAACAGGGTAGGGGGTGGGAGTGACTTATTTTTTTCAACAACAACCCCTATTGAGTGACCCCTCATTTTGAAGGGTTTGTTAAAAGAAAAAGAATGACGCAAACCCGAGGTAGATATTTCACCCCTAGCCTAAATGGTGGGTAATGAAAAATTTAATTTTTGTAAAAAAAAGCCCATTTTGGAATATCCGCCATGTTAGCTAGGAGTGAGATATTCACCTCGGATTTGCGTCATTGTGTTTCTTTTGACAAACCCTTCAAAATGAGGGGTCACTCAATAGGGGTTGCTATTTGAAAAAAATAAGTCACCCCCTACCACCTACCCTGTTAGGGGGGTAAAAAAATATTTTTCATGTGAAAAATTGCGGAATCTTTGTTAACTATTATTGCCACAAATAGAATATTTCTATCTATTTCGGTTTTAAAAATACAGATTTGTTTCCATACTTAATTTACACACTGTATATTGCAGGTAATAGCAAAAGTGAAAATGAATAAATTAGAACTAGCTTATCTCAGAAATGTCTAAGGGCTAATAGACACCAAACATAGCACTTATATTTTGTCCTAATATAGCATTTCCAACTGTGACCACCTCAGAAAACAGGCTAGTCCCTGATGTCTTTAAGAGCTTAAGAAGCATAATAGGTACACATAAAAAATTGTTTTTGTCATTTGCCATTGATACTTTTTGAAGAACTCCTTTTTTGAACTTAAACTCTTATTTCCTTTTAACCAACTTTTTTTCTATTCCTTTATTAGAAAAAAATGTTAGTATTATGTTATGTAACCTTTCATTCTGTATACATTTCATTCAATTTTAGTCCCTGGGCAATTTTTTAAATGAGCTTGCTGTATGCCCCTCTAAAAAATCCCTAATCTGATATTTAGCTTTCCTTTAAAATATTATTAATTATAACTGTTTATAGCTATGATGATCGAGTGTATGGCCGGTAAGTCAGCGGCAGTTCATGGTCTGGTCCACGACGCTTCTCCGTTCCAATTCACTGAGGAGGATACAGCTATTGACTACTTTGGCCGACTGCTACAGGCTGGTGGCTACAACTACTACGGCACGGAGCGCATGTACAGCGGCGTCGACGGTCGAGAGATGACTGCCTCGATATTCTTTGGAGTCGTCCATTACCAACGCCTCAGACACATGGTTTCTGACAAGTGGCAGGTGGGCTGGAATTTGTACTGTTGATTTTCAAATGTATATTTTTCTGTGTTTTATCACCAGTGGAATTGTTAATATTTTTAAGGAATCGTCAAACCCCTAGTCTTGTTACTATAACGTTGACTTTTTGATAGATGACATCATTAATCACTAATTTAATTACTAGCACTAACTAATTACCCAATGGCATCTGGGTGTAGTAGAATTGACCCACTCAGGATAAAACTAACAACTATGATATTTTAAGACTAGCATCGTAACCAATTTGTTCCCCAAAATAGTTAATACATAATAATGTTGATTGAGAAATGTGTGCTCAATAATTCAGCTGATGATACTGTAAATTGAAAATATCAAAGTAGGTAAACTAACTAGTAATTCCAATCAAAAGCTAGTAATTCCATTTGTAATTACGATCTAGGTCTGGAAACGACCTCGCTTGGAATCAAACCAGCGACCTTCAGATTTGAAGGCAAGCACCATAACCAATTAGCTACCCAATGTGCTACAATGGTTGATTACCAAGAAAGGTAGGCTACAAAAGCTTGTCATTAATTAAAGGTGTGCAATGCATCAAAATTCTGATTGCGCATCAAATCGCAATTCGATTCAGTGGTGGTCAAAAAACCATTCGATTCATGATTTTAAATCGTTTGTAGTGACACCCTTCTTGTTTAACTATTATTTTGTAACGGAGGGAAAAGTCTTTGCACAGCGAATCTTAAGGTAGGAAATAGGTTTTTTTAGTTGTGATTTGTATATTTTTTAATCGTAATGGTAATCTCCTTTTTTTTTGTCCAGGTGAGAAGTAAGGGCCCTGTGGACGTATTGACCAGACAGCCTATCAAGGGTCGACGTCGTGGAGGTGGTGTAAGATTTGGAGAGATGGAACGAGACGCTCTCATATCACACGGAGCATCCTTCCTGCTACAGGACAGACTCTTTAACTGCTCGGACAAGTTCAGTGTAAGTATTTGCACTGGTAGTAAATATAAAGATAATTCTAGACTATGTAGTCATGTTAAAAGTAACCTGCTTTAGGTGTAGAAACATAAAGGCTTCCAGGGTCATTAATACAAACACCACTAACAGACTAGGTCTTCTTTAGCGATGAAGAATTCCAAGTACAACTTTATAAAATATAGTACAAAATCGTATTTATTTTCAATAAATCTTAAAAATAGGGATGTACAAGACTCGAAATTTTGGAAAGTTTTTAATCTGTGAAGTGTATATTTCTATCAACACTTCACTAGTAAATTTATTAAAATATAATATCCATATCAGCCAAAAATTTAACAGTTATAAAATTGTGTTTAGACACTGATATGCCGCAAGTGTGGGTTGTTGCTGAGCCCAGTGGTGGGACCCAACGACGGCGGCTCCAAAAGATGTCTCATCTGTGACAAGCAAGGCCGCGTAGAGACCGTCAACCTGCCTTACATCTTCCGCTACCTCATCGCACAACTCGCCTCCGTTAACATCAAGGTTCAAATGCAACTAGAAACCAGCTGAGTCCACCCTGTACAGTGTTATTAAAGGTTTTTAATTTCTATAGTAGCGTGGTTCTTATAAAATCCTTTGTGGGTTTAATTTTCACTGTTTTTTAAAACGCCCTTTTAAAGTATATCGAGGAAAAAAGAATGAATACACAACCAACCTTGAGAAGGAAAGAGTTACAGGGAGTTTTGACTTAACACAAAAAGTGCACAAAATAATTAGTTTGATGGGGTAGATTCTTCTGGAGGAAGTAGAATCTTCAATCTTGAAACTAATGTTGTGTTCGAATTTTCGTTTGTTTTCAACTGCCTGGAAGTCTTTTCTTATTCAATCTTTTCTTATTTTTCTATCCATTCCTTATTTCTCTATTCCATACCTAAGCCAAGTGCTTACAGTATTCCTTAAATACAATGTTGCAGTTTAAACATTTTAGTCTTTAAGCTCAATTTTAGCAATATTGATTTTTAAAGTGATGACTTAACCTCCTGTAGATGGTTTTACAGATTATTTACCATATTCAAGTGTATTTGGTTGCGAGTATAGTAACTAGTAAGTAAGCTATTTTCAATCTTGAAAAATTCAGTGATTCAAATTTAACACATTGTAGACGTATACAATTTTGGGTACATAGTAAGAAAATGATCATATATTTTACTGTTAGAGATATCATTGAACATGAAAACACTTTTCTGTTGTATTGTGCTAGGTTGCTTCAACAAAATGTCCGGGTAGTGCTCGCCTTTAAATCTGATGGTTGCAGGTTCAACTGAAAACCCGTGATCGATTGTGGTTCCAGACTATTTGTTATAGGGCTATTATTTAATGATGCTATCTAACAAAAGGTTGACATTAGAGTTTAGACTTTCTCTAGTCTATATCTATATCTAGTAGCATAAAACTTACTAGTGCAGTGACATAGAAAAGCCACTAACTAAAAAACATTTGGTTGATCAAATGGGCGAATAAATTTGGTACATTTACAGATAGAATATACAAAACTGAAAACAACTCTTTACTAAATTACTCTAAAGGCTACATTCTGTGATATAGCTTGATGTAGGTTCCATGAAGTGGTCTTAAAATTGGCGAAAATAAGACCTTCAAACCTTCCCTCTGAGTTACTGACTCAATACGAAAACGTCTCAGAAAATACGACAACACCACCTTCATCTCCATCATTGCAAAGCGTTGGCCTGAAAAAAATGTTGAGTAGATTATTTTCCTGCTAAATAAGTTGTCTAAAACTTTGAAACATTAATAAAATTCTCTGGAAAGTTACGGGGATGTAAATATAATTTTATGTGTTTTAAATTTTGCCCTAGTGGATGAGTCCATGGAGTGGATAAACCATGTATATTTTGTAAATGTGTAGCAAAAATATCAGCTTCGTCTGAACATGCGATATATCTTTTAAATAGTTTCTGTTTAACCATTTTTACGGAAATTTGTGTTATTCCTTGTGAGAAAGTTTTTGAGTGAAAAAATGTTTTCTTACAATAATGTTGTGCAACCTTTCATTATTGTTACGTGAATTATATTTAAGTTAGGCTATTCTTTTCTCATGTTTAAACTAGATGTACTTTTATTACATAACTGTGTGAGACATGAATTTTTTTGTCAATATTTTTATCTGGGCTAGAGAAAACTGAATTCTTTAAAATTTAACTCTGTTAACTATAAAAATTTGAAGTTTAAGGTTACAGTTTTGTCTACTATGAAGAAAGTTTAGTGTTACGATAACGTGTGGAGCATTAATATTTTAAAAACACTCTAGTGTCTGTCCTCAGTTGTCCTAGTCAATTCTGGAAATCCTTCTTGAACGTTTGTATTTTTTTAAATCACTGTGTAATAACTTACTAGTACCGGTACTCCACTTCCTAATGCTCCGCTTATTCAAAATAAGTTTTAAAATATTTTGTTGCCCTACTGAACAACAGATTTTTTCTGTAGCTACATATCACGATTTCTCCTACCTATACAGTTGCGGGGTCCCCCACTGAAAGGGATGTACATGAAGGGATGACGATTGAGATTGTCGTTACTTAGGAACCTTTCCGGGTCAAACTTCTCAGGGTCCGGAAACAACTCTGGACGCCGATGTAGGAAGTAAGGAATCACCAATACGTTAGAGTTTGCTGGAACCTTGTAATCACCTGAAATATTGAAAAGTGTTGTAGTGTAAATTCATTGGTGCTCAGTGGATGGTTATTATTCTTAAGACAAATTAAAGCAACTTTCTGTTCCAACAAGAAATCATAAAGGTTTTAAAATTTTATTCTTTTAATCCCCGTCTTTTTCAAGAATCAAGATCTTTATTGTCATTGACCTTTAAGGAATAGACATAGTCAACAATAGAAATAAAAACTAAAGCTATAAAATACAGTGGGTTCTAAATTAAAAATTAATATTAACATCAGAAACTAAGTACTCTGTTATACAGTAATATGGATATTGGATGCCACTCAAACATTTTAGACTTAAACCTATTAAAAGGAACCTGTTTTGCTGCCAGACCTAAATTATTAAAAAACCGTATGCAATTTATTTTATGGCAGTTATCTGTTTTGGCCAATCTATGGACAGGGATATCTAGATTGGATTTGCCTCTTGTATTGTAAGAGTGTATACTCTCTCTACAAGTGAATTGATGAAGATTGGCTTTAGTGTAGAGGAGTATGTGAAAAATATACAAATTTACAACGGTCATTTTTTGTTCATGCACAAACGCAGCGTGAAAACAAATGGATAATATGAGCAGCATTAAATATAACGGGGAATGCCACACCCAGTATGTTATCCTGCAGTAGCGGACGCCTATTTGTTTCAATGTTACTCTAATTTTTTGTGTGTTTTCACACTGTGTTTGTGCGTGAAAAAAACGCCCGTGTGGCCGCAGCCTAAGAAAACAGGATGCTTTAAAAAGCTGACTCAATGTCTTAATAGACATTTTTAGCCAGTGAAGGACCAATGCACGGGATACTAGTGTGCTACCTTTACTGTGAGTGTGACCATTACTTGATTGAAACTGGCTTTCATAGCTTTAGGATTTATTGCCATAATTTAACCTCCATATGTCTCATCTTGATTCTAAATCGGTTGTATTTTTGTGTGGAGTCTGATTGATGCACAATGTTAGTTAATAGTTTTTCTGTGAATTGTTTTTTTAATTTATATTATAAGGCCTTACCTTAGCAATTCTGTTTTTTGATCCGAAATTAATTTCGGGCCCGAAGGTCCATCATCAGTCGGAATCTAGTAGACCAAATTTTTCTAAAATAGAATCCACCCGTTGGGTTTTATAGAAAGTTTCACAACATTTAAGACAATACAAGTCATAGTTGGTACAAAAAGAGTAAAACAATTAGGGTAAAAAAACCATGGTTTTTATAATGTCAGATAACCTCACTTTGGCTAGAGAACCTGTTGCCGGCAACTGTCAAAATCAACGGAATTGCAGGTTGTGTGAACAATTTGTGAATTGTTTTTAGTTTCTTGTGCCAGCCAGACACTTTCCCTTTCTTGTTAACCTGCTATCCTAACAAAAATCCTAAAAACTTAGGCGACATCCTTGTACTACCCAAAACAAAAGTGTATACCTTTCTCTCTCATATCAGAGAAACCCACAAGTCTTACCAAGATCCAAATCAGTGTCTAATGTTCTGCTCATATAAGATACAGGTGGATAAAGTCTTAGAGATTCCTTGATTATTGCCTCCAGATACGTCATCTTGGTGAGATCCTGCCTCGTTACTTGTCTGTCAGAGTCGCCAAATATCTCACGCACCTCGTTGTACGCTCTTTCCTAAAACAAACATCACAACAAAAAGTTTAAAAATAACAGTAAAAATAAGTTTACTTAATCTCTTCTCAGCTTATAATTAATTATCAATGTAATATCACCATGATTTTGTTGCTTAAATTATCTGCCTTGAAAAGAAACAAATGGAAACAAACTCTATTTTATTTGTTTGTTGCCAACTCCAATAATGACTAAACAGAAAGCAGCCTTTGTCCAACACCAGGTTGACTCAAATCATTCAATGAGCAGCATAGACAATGGTTTACATATTTTACAAGTGGGAAATGTAGCAAACTTGACACCCTGAAAGAGTTTTAGATTTATAAAATTTATAATGACGAACATTTTATAAAGACCACCCTTAATTAAATGCTACAGTTATAGTCTCACTTGATTTTCAATACGATTCTACATTCTAAAACAGCTGATCGAAGATCTGATAACATCAAGGATAACGAAAGGAGAGGAGATGACGTGATGTAGACCTGTCTACTACCAACTCCGCGTTGGACTAAACCAGTATTATCATGATAGCGCTATCTAAATGTGTGTGAATATAAACCGTTATAATGTTTTAATGCTGTGCTTGTTAGCGAATTTCCCGTAAGCAATCTTATTTGTTGGACTATTTGACGGAGGTACTCAAAACTTATTATTGTCTTAACAAAGTAGTCCTGGGGCCAGAACCATGAATTTTGACACCACTTAATGTACCCAACTCATCTTTAACCCCCCCCCCTCCAAACTTGACACTGAAACTTGTGTAACTGTTTACTCATCCATACTGGGACTATATTGAACAGTTTGGAGTTGGAGGGGAGCGTTCACTTTGGATGTTGAGGTTTAGGTCTAAATTCACCTATTTAGAGTACAGGTCTGAGCAGATTCAGAGTTCAAACCTACATTGTTACACTTACCTGAATGTCTGGGCTGTGTCCCAGAAGTAGAAGTGACCAAGCTATTGATGATGAAGTGGTCTCATGGCCCTGTAAGTAATGAAAATAATACATTTCTACATGCTACTAAAATGTTAACCAATCAATTAAAACGGAGCTTTGCTGATAGCTGAGTGAGTATAGTGCTTCCCTGGCAATAAGAATTTTGCCAGATTGATCCTGCGAAAAGTTATGCGTTCTTTATGGATCGAAACTAGACCCTGCTTTCTTGATCATTGCTCTTTTAAGAAGCTTCTACTCTGTCAATTCAAGATGGCGGCTAAACATGCCTCTACGATACAAACTCACAACACTCTAAAACTAATTTGTTTTTACAATGATTGTGTGCTTTTTGTGCTCTCAACATATCAGAGCTTGCAATGGATAGGGATAAATTAATGTTGAACTATTATAAGCTGAAATCACATGTAAAAAAGACTAATTTACTGATTTTTAAAATGGTTTTGTAAATACTTAAAGAAACAGTCACAACGTTAAAGTTTCAGTTCATCCAGGGCATAGTTGGATCTTTGTGAATATTTAACAGTTTATTTCAACTCAATAAACACTTTAATAATGCCATGAGGTTCTTTTTTGTTTGACCATGTTTACGTGGTAACCAGCCAGCAGGTACCCCCCCCCACTCCTCTCATCAAATGGTCCTGATTAAGGAACCAGCTGATCAAAGTCAGTACAGTAACAAAGCCTTCATCACGTTACTTCAACATTCACCATTTGCCTCAAAATATACATCCTACCGTCTTAGAATCTAATCCATTTCAACTTAACCCTTAATTACTCGCGCAGGATGTTCAGAGACCCCTAAGGTGGGAAATTTTGTGTTGCTAGCTGGACTAAGTTGTCTACACTGCTGATTGATAAAAACAATAAGCAACACTTCTATCACCCCAGCAAACAACTCAACAAGCAAGTCATACTAGAACTTTCACACGTTTTAATCTGAATTTTTGAAATAGCTGGACTTAAAGGAGGATGAGCTTTTTTTAATTTAATGAATAATATTTAACTTGAATGCAGACAATATTTTGTTTCAAAAATAAAGTTCTAACACTCTAAGGAAATGTATAAAGTATGAAAATTCTAAACATTATAAATGTGTACTTTATGAATATAAGGTAAATGTTGAAATACAAGAGTTTACCTCAAACATAAAAGTGTCCACTTCTTGTCTTATTTCCACGTCAGTGAAAGCACCTGGCTCATTTTCGGCCATTTCAAGAAGAAAATCCACAAATGCTGCAGGTTTTAGATCTAAAATCACAACCAAAAATATATAAACCAAAAGTTAATTCAATAAATCCAAACTCCCCTATATCACTTGTTGTAGTTATCAATATTCCTTTTTAAATAAAACTTATTTTCATTTATTATTTACAAATTCAAGAGAATATTGTAAGAATTTAAAATCAGACTTTTCCTTTGAATTATACGATAATTACTGGAGCCATTTGCTACATTGGAAGTGTTTCTGATTATACTCAATAGGTAATCATTTATAGATCATAATTATTTACCTGTGGATCCGTTTATTCTCCCTAATCGCCTCTTTTCTTTGCTCTCTTTAATCACCTGTGTAAACAAAATATTTATCACTAAATTTATTGAAAGTTCAGTAGAACCCCGGTTAACCAAAATAAAGAGGGGAGAGCCGTTTTGGATAACCAATTTTTTGTGTAACCCGTCATATGCTAAAAATAGCCTATGTATTACCTCAGTGAGTTGGAAAAATGAATTTAAAACAATGTCTATATACAGTAGACTCCCTCTTATCCGGTCTCCTCGGGACCGAGGCCAGTCCGGCTAACGGGCTAATGGGTCGTCCCCATAAAATCATTAAAACGGACCGTTTACTGTGATATTCGACTTAAATTTAGGAGAGCATTGTATTTAGACACGTGATCCCTGGTCTCAAATCTTTCCCACAAGAACAGTCGTTTCAGTACCGCCCACTTCCTGCCGATCCAGTCCGGTTAAACCAATGTGCTGATAAAAATGGTCTGGTTAAAGAGATGTCATTTCCGCCAAGTTTAGTCCAGTTAAACCGATGTCCGGTTAAAAGGTGTCCGAATAAGAGGGAGTCTACTGTAATATAGTATTTTATTTCAGCTACAGAAATGTTACAATGGGCTAGAAAATACTTTAAACTATAAAACTGAATTTACTAAAGCCTTTGATTGACTAAACATTACATATTACTTATACTTTAGCCCTGTATTATTTTATGGAACCTTTTCGGTTAATCTGGGGTTTGGTTAACCGGGGTTCTACTGTAAGTTTAATGTTCTTATAGAAGAAGACAAAATTTATCTCAGCACTTTGGTATTATTGATAAAAGTATTAACTCCATGCCCAATTTTAGAATAAATTTGACATGGTTTAATGGAGCCATAATGAGCTGTGTCAATAATTTAATTTTATTGGAAACACAGTTTTTAACCAAGTTACTATGAAAAGTAAAACTACTAAAGAACCTAAACTAAAGCATCTTTTATGTAAGCAAGAAATTTAAGGAAATACTAATGAGAAAATTGAATATTTACAGCAGTGCACTCAATGCTCATTAAACTATGCTGATCTGAATTAAAAATTGGCTAAAGTTTGTTTATACAGTCATGATGTCCAAGCCAGTATGCAAAAGTCAACAATACAACCTAAAAAAATATTTGTTTAATGTTATACATTTCATTAAATTTATTTAAATTTATATATCTAGATACTCAAATTATACTCGTGGTTTTGGTTTTTATACTTATAAAGAGACTACTTAACTAGTTTTTCTTACATTTTCTGTAAAGCCGTGGAGTATCTTCAATAACCTTTTTTGTTCTCTTCCGTCAGCTGTTAAGTAGTAAATCCAATCTTTTCGAAGATGGAACGCCTTCACTCTCTTCAAGCTCACTTCTCCCATCCTACAGTCAATTTTTATCCACTTAATTAATGTTATACAATATATTTGATCAATATAAAATTGTTCAATAAGGAGGGTCAGATCTCTGCTTTATTTCATTTACAATAGCAGAGCTAAAAATATCATTAAACTTGTTTCTACCATACGATTGAGAGTCCAAGATTTTACAATGAATGCAATGTGAAAAAATAGATTGGATTTAAATCAAAACATATGTTTAAAAAAACGTGAAATGTGGATTAATAGAAATTCGTTGAAATTTTCTGTAAAAAATTAAGCTTTTTTGGTAATTATTAAAACAGTAATACATTTTTTTAATAAGGAAAAGTATTGAACCATCCAGCTAATATGGTAAAAAATGAGTTTGAATTTAAATGTTTTAAAATACAAATTTTTCGAGGCTTGGAAGTTGTCAAATAAAGAAGTTTTATATTGATTAACAATTTTTATCTTAGGAATAAAATGTTACCAACTGAACTATTTGTAAATACAATACAAAAACAATCTCCAGATGATCTTAATAATAACTAAATAAATATTAAAGAACAACAAACATATGACATTGTTACACTCTGGCCTCAGGTCGCTCAGTCTGGGGTGGGTCGATGTAAATGAACAGAGTGTTTATCCTTAATAAATCAAAATTCTTCATGAAAAGGGCGCCACCTAGTTTTAACCTTCCTAGGAACCAAACTAGGAAATATTCCAAGGTAAAGGATGATGTGATTAATTTTGAAAATAAATTACTATAAAGGGAATGGCAGAGGCTTACTGTTAAAACAAATTAAATTGACCAAACATACAAGTCTCAAATAATATTTCTATCAAAATTCAACTATTATCAATGAAAGCAGATATTATTGTCTTTTCTTTTTATCTACCAGCTAAATATTTAATCAAACAAAACTGATATTTTTGATTTGAAACACTATCACTTCTAAGATAAGGCTACTAGGCAATGTGAATGAATACCAAAGATTTGATTACCCAAGAAAATATTTACTGATCAGTTGCAAAACATTTGTACCTTTAACTTCCATTTTGATAACTACCAAAATTAATTAGAAATTGTCGGCCGACACTAAGATGAATTATTGAGCACAAAAGACATATAATACACAGTAATAAATATATATAACCCTGAAACAAATACTTATATCTAAACAAAATAGATCCTGAAAGTGTCCAAATATCTCATAATAAATCCCAAAATAGTTAACTAATGTAATATTAAAATAATTGTCCTATCTGTTGTTTGAGAGCGTTGGTATAGTCGAAGTTAGGTTGTACACAGGTTGACTGCACGGACACAGGTGAGTCTGTCAATGTCACAGGTTGTGTTGAAGTCGAGGTCCTCTAGCCACAAATGGAATAATGCCAGAGCAGGTCCAAGATACCACAGTCCACATCCAAAGGGCGATAGGTAACCAAAATCAAGTCCGCAGACTTTTTCCCTGTGCAAAACCCACACACTCTAGTATTGAAGACTAACACACTTTAAAATAGTAAATTATGTTAATCTTTCAGAAGTCCTTTAACACATGGTAAGTCCAGAAAAATTCAGAGGTTTATACACAAATTGGTTTAAAGTTCAGAATAACGCATATAACTTCATATTATTCGGTGTAGCATTATTTACCTTTGACACTTTCAATTCAATGGGCTAATTTACTACTTTGAGTTCAGTAGCTACTAAAGCACTATAAAGTTAATTAAACATGAGGATAAATCTCTGAGAGTATATAGACAATTTAAACATATTTTACCCAGTATCAGATCAAATAAGTAATTTTCTTGAACTGTGTTCCCTATTTGCAATCATTACTGAGACATAAAAATCACTTCCAACACAATATTTACAACTAAAGTTTACAGTGACAAATATTTTATAGCTAAACAACATTTAAATTAACTAGTGACATAAATAATAACACAATTCTCATGAGAATTTGGAATATTTTGTTAAAATTAATTAATAATAATTCAAAGAATAACTAACATTTATATCAATTCATCGACTTTAACCTACTCAACCTTTTGACACCTGAATTTTACAGTGAATCAAACATGACATAATATTTTAATATTTTAGAATCTTCAATAAGCATGTAAATCATCTTTAAACATAATAATTACTAGCCTACATTTAGTGTCATTATTTAATCATCAAAATCATTAATACTTTACCCTATTTGACTCATATTAACACAAAACAATTAATTTATACAAAGGAAACAAATATTTAAAACTTACATTGGGATACAGAACAGCATTACTATTACAATTAATTAAATTCTCATGTAAATTAACAAGTTAAAATTAGAAAGCACATGGTCAGCAATTTTCATGTTTTTTCCTCTAGACAAGTTTTACTTTGCACTATATTACAAAATTGTGAAATTCCAATCATATTAACTAACCATGAAAATTTCATATTTATGATTCTTTAAAACTGACTAAAACTATATGACTAACAAATTGACAAAATATCTTACTTATTAAATAATAATGATTTACTCTGAAATATTCCAAATTCTCAGTTTGCATGTCTGGCCATTAGTTCCAAATCAAGAACCAGAAAATATTAAATTAAAATGTATTTAAATCATGAATGGATTAAAATTGGGTTCAAATTATTTACAAAATTGATCATTGACTAATCTTACCTCTGCCAAATAAATCCAAAAGGAATGGACACAAGGGAAAAGGTTGATGTTCACAAGGCTGGACACTGATCTTCTAACTGCAAACTCTTCAAAATGGCTAAACTATACTGCATTACTTTAAAACATCCTCACTGCATGGAGTTGCCTTGTAGAAGAGGTCAGATTTGCTCATAGTTGTGACTGACATGTCAGGATACAAATTTCCTGTCTGGCAGGGGGGTGGGGAATAGGAGTGGACAAAGTCCAGCTAGGCACAGGCTGTTGCTCACCAAGTTAATATTTCAGCTGATGGGATTTATTTAATGCCTTCAAAACCCTGACACAAAGTCATGACAGCAAAGTAAATAATGTTGCGTTCTCATGGGAAGGAGCTCCTAAATTCCCATTTGATCTCATAATGATCATGGCCATTGATCATTCAGAACAAGTATTTATTATACACAAAACTGTCACAACACTCCCCTACCAGAAGAAATTTTCCTAAAATTTCTCTAAAATCCAATAGACTTTAGTTTATGTATCTTTTTAAGTCATTGACATGCCATTTTCCAGCATCTTTCCCTTGAAGATCTTCTAAAGAATAGACCACATTGGAAATCTTCTTGGTAATCCTGAAGGGTCCAACGAAACGATCAGTCAATTTAGCAGAGAAACCAGCAGCGGCATCCGACTGTGAGAAATTCCTTTTGAGCACCAGGTCATTATCCTTGAACTCTTGAGGTCTTCTACGAAGGTTATAGCAGTGACTACTCTTCTCATGAGCCTGTACCAATCTATCCTTAACCTCCTTGAAGATATCTTGAAGTTCTTGAAGTTTTCTTCCATAAGGTCCACAGTCTTCCACTGTCCCAACATCATCAGATTGAAGATCTACACCAACTCCAGAAGCAGATGGTTCACGGCCAAAATTGAGGAACGCAGGCGAAAATCCTGTAACTTCATGTACAGCCGTCCTAAGCGCAAATCCTATTTGAGCAAGATGCTTGTCCCACTCTCGATGACTTGCCCCAACATAGGCACGTATCATAGTGATTACATTTCTGTTCACTCTTTCAGTGGGGTTAGATTGAGGATGTCTACTAGGATTATAGAGGATCTTGCATTTGTAACCTGCCGCTAAGTTCTTAACTGGTGCACCCGTAAATTCTGAACCATTGTCGAAAACTAAGTATTTTGGGACACCATAAACTAAGAAAATGTCTTCTTCCAGATGTTGAGCCACGGCTCTAGCTGTTGCTGCTCTAAGTGGTTTGAGTATAGAAAATTTAGTGAAAGTATCAGTTATTACTAGGATGTATTTGAAACCTTTGGTCGATCTTGGGAAGGGACCCATTAAGTCAGCTGCGACCATCTTCCAGGGTTCATCAACACCCCGCCTTTCACCCATCAACCCAGCAGGTACATTTTGATTGTACTTAGTTCTCTGGCAGATTTTACAACGAGAAATATAGCTAGCAGTGTCCTTCCTCATTTTGGGCCAATAATATTTTAATTGAAGTCTTTTGTATGTTTTGAAAGTGCCTAGATGCCCTGCGGTAGGCTGGTCGTGACATTCTTCCAAAGCTGAAGCCCTACTCTCCTTGGGAAGTACCAATTTCCAAACTTTGTCATCTTCTTCTTCTGACAATCCTATTTGATCATTAAGTCTCTTCAATAGCTGATGATCCTTCACTCTCCACTGTGGATACTTTTGACCCTCAGATCTGACATTTTTGAGCATCCTTGCATACCACTTATCCTTGACATCTACCGGAATGACTACATCACAGTGAAAATTTTCATCAGGCTCAATAGCGGCAGACCTAGACAACAAATCAGGAACGATATTCTCCTCCCCTTTACGATGAACCAATTCGAAATCATAGGGTTGCAGTCTCAACGCCCACCTTGCTAATCTACCCTGAGGATCTCTCAAATTATATAACCATAAAAGGCTGTAGTGATCAGTTATAACCTTGAACTTTGTCCCTTCAACATAAGGCCGGAAACGTTCCACCGCCCAAATCACTGCTAAGCACTCTCGCTCAGTAGCTGAGTACTTTTGTTCTTGTTGGCTCAGAGTGCGACTCGCATATGCCACAACAACTTCTCCCTGATTACTTTCCTGGGACAACACAGCACCCACACCAACACCTGATGCGTCACATGAAATAACAAAAGGCCTGGAAAAGTCTGGGCAAGACAAAATCGGTGAGGTTACAAGGCAAGACCTAATATCCAAGAATGCATCTTGAGCTTCCTTTGACCAAACAAATTTTGCACGTTTCTTGAGTAATGTGGTGAGTGGGAAAAGACGAGCAGCAAAATTTGGAATGAACCGCCGATACCATGAGGC